AGGAGCCATAATATGAGGTAGGTGTAGACCAGATAAAAAGTTCAGAGGAGAATAACAAAAAGGATCAGAAATGTGTAACGTATGACCTACAATCTTATGAAGTTTTGCTTCCAGACAAGGAGAGGTGTTCAGACATTTTGAAAAGTACTCTGAGGAATCAAAAGTCAGAGATGGAACCATTTTCTATGTCCTTAATGGAGAAAGTAGGACATTAAAAAGCTTAGATTGCAATAAAGCAGACTGAGGTTGGATGTTGAGAAAAACCACCAGTACAAAGAGAGAAGCATTAGTATACACTGTCAGAAAACCATGGGAGGTTTCAGAACAAGGCAGATAAATTTGTGCCATGAGCCATCTATGTATAACAGACCCTGCCTTCTAGCAGGGAAAAGGAGCAATTAGTTAACTTCTGCAGTCTTTCCTGCCTACTTCTATTTGTGTCTCTACTCTGGCAGGTGTTAATGCAATAGTTCTGATATTTAGCATTGGCTTTATCACACCTGTTCAAATCCCTGCTTCACTGCACTCTTGGTGAGTCTGATACATCAAGGGTCAAACTCCCTGCTCACCTGCAGATCAGAGCTTCACTGCACATCCAGTTGGGAGAATTTCTGCCTAACATCCAAAGTAGTGCAAGTTTTTCTTCTCACAACACAATGATGCTCAGAATAGGCGTACTTCCACTCGATGCAGTCATTGTCTCATTGATCTTTTCAAACAGCATTTTCCATCTGCTGAATTATGTTTCAATCTGAGTTAGTTTATCCTGTGTATTACTTTATATTACTCACACAAGTGCTTCACTCAAACAAAATTCTCCTCTAAGTTCAATGAGTTTTGCCAAAGCCATGAGTTCTAGATCAATTCTTGTGCTGTGTACAATACCACTGGGTATTATGTTTACCACTTCTATTGCATTTTGAATTCAGCTCTGATTGATTTATTCCAGATCAAATTTAAGAAATCTTCAGGAAAAAAAAACCCACACTGGCTTCCTTCTAGCTTCTGAATAAACAGTCTTTCCAGCTTTCATTTTGGTTCAGGTTTGGTTTGACTCCCCAGTAACAGCCATCTTAAAATAAGCTTAGTAAAATCACTGCTTAAATTACAATGGAGATCTTTAACTCTTACTGTCACTATGCCTTATCCATCTCTTCTGTTTTTTCCAAGGTTCCTTGACTACTTTCTTGGATCAGAATGAAACAATCTGTCTTCCTTAGGAAACTGGAAGGGTTTCATCCAAATTATTTTGGGGTTTATATGGTCTTAATCACTGACTTCTTTCTAACTTCAAAAGAGCATTTTCATTTCATAACTAAAGTTCCACAAGGTTTCCTTACGTAGAACAAAGCTGCTTTTGCTTTGGTCTCATCTTGGTATCCACATGAAAAGTGCACTCACAAAATCCAAGAGATACGGATTTCAATTTTCCATGATTTTTATGCTAACAAAAATCTAACTGCTGCTTTCAGCTCAATCCTGACTTCCGTAGTGCTGTGAGTGACGCTGAACCAGTTGAGCTGGCATTACACTCCTGGGTTGGACTTTACTCTTGTAGATATGACAATGAGTTTTTACCTTTCTAAGCCACCTTAAGACCTTTCAGAAAATGCATCCTTTTGCTCTGTCACACTGTTTTTCCCTTCTCAGCTGAACAAAAATCACACTAAACATGAGCGCTCCTTTTATTGTCTCCACTTCGTTTGTTGGCTGCTTGCATGCACTGTATGTTTAAAGAGATTATAGATATTTTTATCAATGTTTTAATTTTTTTTTCCAAGTTACTTTTAATGTTTGCCAAATGGACCATAGAAAGCTGATAAATGCTCCAAACCACGTGAAACCTCATGTCCCCACACATGTCCAATTTATTGGTCTGCTGACATAACAGCTCAAGGCCATCACTTGCATAGAAAGCAAGCAGTGTGCAGGAGGAAGGTCCTCTGGGACTGCTTTTTTATGATAGCAAAGCTAAGCCAATAGAGTTGGTAAACTGAAAACCTGACCTCTGTCTCTGTACTATTTCCTCCCAGCGCTTGCGTGCTTTGTGGCTTTCCAGTATTCATCCCTGCCTCTTCTATCTTGAACTGAGTTGTGAAATACCTCCAGATAATTTATATAGCCTGATTGTCCAGACAAGTCTTTAATTAAAATACTTATGCACAGGCATCAAATGTGTAGCTTTATCTTTTGAAATATAGCACGTCTGGTTTGTGTGAATTGGGCTGTTCATATTTCAAGTGTTCTCTTCTCAAAACCAGTCCCTGTGATAAATTGAAGGAATTATGTTTTTGTTGGCTGTCTTCGTTACCTCCATCACTGCATTTCCAATTTATCAACAGAGTTTTGAGAAATTGTTAGAATATGTTGCACTCATAAGCACCACAGGGAGAAAAAATATCCATTTATTACCGCTATTGTGTTTGATTATATTACGCATATCCAAAGGACCAAAAATGAAATGTCATATTTAATTCTCCCCTTGCAGTAGACAACATCACCCTTTCTTCTCTCCTTCCAAAAACAGCTTGGAAATTAATTCTTCATTTTCATTTTAAGTCAGTCATACAGAATAGAAGCAAATATGCTCTAGGAACAGAGCAGGAGTAATGGAAACCTAGAGATCCGAGCTCTATTTCTAGCTCTACCTTTTGCTCTTTACCATCCTCAGCAAAGTCATTTGACCTCTGTCCTCCAGCCTCTCAGTTCATGAAATAGGAATAGAACTAGCTTCCTACAGGTGTCTCTAATGATTTGCCAAACTCACGTCTTATCCGATCACCTGTGCTTAGCATCTCCTCTTACGGTCTTGCAAAATTGGTGAAGGCTGAGGTGCTGAACTTTGCATGCAACCAAATATGCAACCTTCTTAGACAGTTCAGAATTGAAGATGGCTAACAGCTTTCAGAGGAGCTAACTCAAGCCAGGAGAATGGATCACAAAGACGCCGGTGCTATTTAGTACAGTTAAATACTGAAAAATTATTGATCCCAGCCTGTCAGGATGAGAAACTAGATGTGCTTTCAGCAAAAAGCCTGCAGCTGCAGAGCTTGCTGGAGTGGGAGCCTGGCACAGCTGTGCCCGGGCTGGCTGTGCACATGCAGCTGAGAATGATCACTCACAGCTGAAGATGATCACCCTGATTAAAGTACAGTGGAGACTCGCAGTCTTGTGGAGCGTTCTGGAAGTGCAGCAGTTCCTGGGTGTGCTTTCAAGAGAAGCACCCTTGGGGCAGTTTGCTGCCCTACGGAGAGGACAGATTGGAAAGTAAGGTTCTTTTTTTAATTGCCCTGCTAAGCTGAGCAAAGGGAAAGGGCTCTTGAGAGCTTGTGCTGAGGGAATAGTTTGGAGTGGCTGAGTGTTGGGTGAGTTGTGGGGAGCTGTGTGGGTTGGTTTCTTTTTTTATGGAGTGGAAGGGAGAAGTTTCCCTCCCTGAGAGGAACCGAAACAGGGGAAGGTTCTGTGGCAGATGTGAGGCAGGACTGGGGATAGAAGGCCATCCTACCTCTCAGCCCCCAGCACTGGAGGATTTTTATAGGCAAACAGTGGTTGCTTCTGAACAAGTCTGGCAACTCAGTACTGCTGTACCAGACTCACTGACCTCCCATTGAGCCTGGAGGGTGCTGATCCATCACCTGCACCAGCCTGTGTTCTGGAGTGCTCTGAGGGCAGCTGTGGAGTAAGCCTAGGGAGGCTGTGCTGAGCTGCCTTGCAGACTTTACCCTTTCCTTCTTGTGTGATTTGCTCCAGTGATTAATGAGAGTGGCTGTTTAAAAACCTGGTGCCTTATTTGCAGTCTAAACTTGTCTGGTTACAGGCTCTAGCCAGGAGCTGTTTATCTTTGTACGGGCTGTGGAGGTGGGCAATGTAGGGAAAGGGGCAGGTGTTCACCTAGGGAGACAGACCCGGCTATTTTCTTAACATCTTGCTGGAGTCACTTTGCAGCTATGGCATCTCGCAGGGATTGTGCTTCCCCTTTGGTGGAAAGAAGTCTCTGCCTTTACTGAGCCCCATAGGGACGCCCCAAAGACACCCAGCAAGATCTGCTTTCAGTGGTGAATCAAGACTGGTGGTGGATGCCGCACAGTCGAGGTGCAGGGTGCGTACTGTGAACTTGCAGAATCTGAAGGGAGAAGCCTTAGAAACACAGCTGTGTGCTCTTGGAAATGAAATCCTTCCTTGTGGCATTGGGCTCAGATGAACTGGCAGTGCAGTTAGTGGGCACAAAGAGCCCGGGTTCCTGCGGAGCTGCTTGCTGTGGGTGCTCTGAAGGACCAGCTGCTGTGATGTGTGACACCACCATCAGACATGGGAATGTTCAGGGGTACTGAACTATAACTCAGCTGATGCACAAAGAAGGGAGAGAGCTCCTGCTAGCTCTCATCTGGGGACGCTGCCTTTGTGAGGCACCCACATCCTTTCTGAACTTCAGAAGTGTGTCGGGAGCCAAATGAGCAGTTTCCCAAGCTCTGTGCTATCTGAGTGCTTGGCAAGGTGGGGGTCTACCTGAGGTGCTGTCTAAGAGGGTGCAGGATGCCCATACAGAAGCAGGGATTAGCTTTGCACTGGGGCTGCCTTGTGAACTAGGCATCTCGGTATATTTATTTCCTACTTTACCTGCGTAAATGCTGTCACTCAAACACAGCAGCAGGCACCAGCTTGGCTGCCTTGGGGTCCGGTGGGTTCTCCAAGAAGCGGCTCTCGGTAAATCAGGGAAGCACGGGGCTTTGTGATCTCCACTGGCAACGTTTTGGGTTTGGGACCGGAGCCGGTGCTGCCGGCTCGCGCTCACAGCTGCCCGCGGGCCGAGCCGGGGCACCCCGCAGGGTCTGCGGCGGGGTCTGCGGCGAGGCCTGGCAAGGGTTAACGCCGAAGCCCCACGCCCCCTTTGACGGAGTCGGGCCAACCTCGCCAAATTTGAAAAGGCATCCGGGGCTGAGAGTGCGCCCTGTGCGCCCCGAGCAGCCCCGGACCCCGCGCGGGCAGCAGCAGAGCCCCGGGGCTCTGACGGAGCGGGGCGGCCCGGGGAGCGGCATCGGGGTCCCGCTGAGCGAGAGTAGAAAGAGGGGCGGGGGGAGAGGGGAAACAAAAAACCCCTCGTCGTGCAAAAATGCACTTCGCTCTTTTCTTGTCCTGGTGCTGCTGCCTGCACGGATGCGCGCTGGGAACCGGCTTCCTCTATCAATTCCCGGCATCGACCCTGCAGCACAACTACCCCGAGCAGAGCTCGGGCTCGCCGGGCAGCGGCTTCGCCAGTCGCCGGTGAGTAAAAGCGGGTCCGACTCCGTCGGTGGCCCGGGAGCCGCGAGGGCTGCCCGCCTCCCTCCCCGCGTCCCTCGCTGGGCTGCGCTGCCCGCCCCATCGCGGCGCCTACCTGCGGGAACGGGGCACGGAGCGACTGCGGCGCGGGGCAGCCGAGCCTCGGCGGAAACCTGCAGCCCCTCCCCGTGTCTCTGCCGTAGGGAGGGGACGGCGATCCGCGGCTGCGAAACCTCCTGACCCGGGGGATGCCGGCAGAGGGAACTGTTGGAGTCCTGGGCTGCGGGGAAGTCTCGTTCAGCTCAACAAAGGAAAAACCTTAATTGCGGATCTCCCCTCAAGAGATGCAGCTTTCGGATAGCCGTTTAAAACCCAAGCTCGTACTCCTCTCCCCTCCCTCCCCAGCCGGCTTCTTATAAACTTGATATAAATCAGTTTTGATTTACTGAACAGTACTGCTTCAATAGAGCAAACAATTTAGGCTTCTCCCCCTCCCCTGTGTTTTCTCTGGGTATTTCTCTAGAGGTGAAACAGCTGTTCAGATGAATGAGCCGCACTGTATAAAGCAGGAGAGTGGCTTAACCTGATTCCAGTTGTTCTTAAATTTCACTATTTTTTTTTTTCTTCTGCAATTCCCTTAAATGGGAACTTGGGAATTTAACATTCAGCGCTCGTCCATCCTGTCTCTCCCCCTTCCTCCTCCCCTTGCTAATAGCTGGTGTGCACGAGGCTGTGCTGCGGTGCGGGGGGGGCTGAGCTCAGCGCTGGCCATTTGGGCTCAGCACTGCGATTTGCATCCGTGTGTCACGAGTGCGAGAACGGGCACTGGCCTCGCGCCTCGCAGGGTTCTCACATATGGTGCATATTTCTTCTCCAAGTGGGGGTGGTTTTGTTTGCTGGCCTGTCAAACAGGCCTCAGTCTGTAGGGGGTGTGATGTTAAAACTACAGTAACTGTCAAAGGGTTTGAAACGGCAGAAAATTATAAGAGAGTAATGGGATAAACCTATCCCAGCTGGATCTGTTCCAAGGTACCCCCTTCCCTGAGCATGAGCTGCAATGAGAACCACATGTCATTTGTCTTACATATCTATTAGCCTGCAGATCTTTGTTCGGAGCTACCATGCTTACATGAGCGAGGGCTGTCGCTGCTCACCAAAGACCTTCCCCAACTCACACTCTTGCACGATTTTCCCATGCCTCAGTTGTTTGGATAGCTGACATACTGTCAGGAGGACGTCTCCCTCTCCAAGTCTATAAAGTGTTGTATAAAACCGTCTAAAGTTGATTTAAACAATGATGTTGGGAAATCTTTTAAAACTCTCTCTTTTTTTTTTTTTTTTTGTCCAGTAAAACTTTGCCTTGTGAGAATCTAGTTT